ATTGTAAAACGCTTTGAGGGGTCCCGAAAAGCGCTATATAAATGCAATCTATTATCATTATTATTATTATTCTTACTTGATGCCAATTATCTGACCCACGACTTTCCCCAAGCCAATGAAAATTGAGCTCGTCAGAGTCAAGAAACCCCTGAGTTTCTTTGGAGAGCTCTCACCGAGATACATGAGGTGAACGCTCAGGCCGAGACCTGTGGAGAAAGACCATATGAAGAAAGAAGAAGAAGAAAAACTGCATTGTAATTAAATGAAAAATAGACATAACAAACCATTATTATATCCACAGAGAAATCTTCCCAGCAAGATCATCTCAAAAGATTTTGCTGTGCGACTGAAGACCATGAGCAATGCAGCGATGATTGCCACGACGTTGTTAAACAGCAGGGCTTTCTTTCTTTAACATTAGAAGAAAAAACATCAAAGGTTTTTAATTGATGTAAGTTTCATGGAAATCCTTTCCCCTTCTACATTTAATCTGTTCATGAGTAGCCTACTTCACATGCAGTTTTAGAAGGTTTATAGTTGTACTCACAACCTGTGAGGTGTCTGACAGTTCAAAGAATAATCTTGGATTTTGATTTTTTTTTTTTTTGTAAATGCACTTGTCCAGAGATGCTAGAGGTGGATAGCACTGGTGATTGATTAATATAATTTTTTATAGGTTGCACAAAAATGTTGAAAAAAACTGAAACTATTTTTGAAGTTTTGCAGAGATCGAATTTGTGCCCTACACAATGGCTTGTTTGCAGCTTCACAGAGCCAGACCTGCTGTTTTCTGCCTTTTCCAGGCTCCTGTTAATATCTGAGAGATCAGAGTGTCTGAAAGGCAGTGCCTGCTGTTAATAAACAACAAATGCTTGTGCAATTACCGGCCATAGGTGACAGGAAGGCTTCCACTGTGAACAGCCCCAGCCCAGCATCCCAAACTTAAAACAGCCACAAAGAAGGACCAGATGAGCTGGTTGGTAGACTTGTGGACTGGAGTGTTGTACCTCACCATCCATGTGTAGTTCACAAAACTCTGAATGTGCTGCAGAAAAGTCAGCGAGGTTAAATAGACAAACTTTAGCAGCCAAACTTGACAAAATAGGCAATTTAAAGAAAATAATTTGGACAATCTGTAATTTGGTGGTTCTTATTTTCACATTTTAATATTGACATATGTTATCAACCCATTGGGTGATATTTTTAGTGTTATATCTTTTATAATGG